TATAACTTTATTTCTAGACCCTAGGTCCATCATCATACAAATTGTAGCCTATATTATAGGTATACTTAGACCTATACTAACTATTAAACTAGGCATTGCACTGGAACAGATCTAATGACTAAGTTAATAGATCTGGATGTAACATTTGTTCTAAATGTTAGGCCTAATAAATCTAAATCTAGGGTTATATCCAGATCTGGGTAGATTCAATACAAGGTGCTTTCAATCTATGCACCCAAATCTAACGTCTAGTTTAGATGTATAAAGCTAAATTTCTGTCATTAGTATTACATCTAGATCCAAACCTAAGACTTAAAAGATGGAACTAACAGGTTTAGCATTAATGTTAGATCCAGATGTACTAGCGACTTAATCTAGGAACTGTAATCTAGCACCACTAAGTAGTTAGCCTATATTTAAGTTCTCATTCTATCAAAACCTTTAATATTAAATATAGCCTTTGAGCCTCTAGGCTTATATTATGTTATGATTACACCCTTCTCCACAGTGTGTGTAATTTTCATTCCAGCAATTTCAGACTTGTCTCCTGTAGTGTTCGTGTATTTAAAACTATCGAGTTTTTAAATGGGATTTAGCAACTGCCAGTAGTTTATATGGTACTCATAAGCATGATTTACCAGCATATACACTCATCTGCATTGATTTCCTTACTGTTGTGTCACATTAATTAACATGAATATGGGTGGTCTAAATAATGGCAGTTAAAGTGAAACCAGGTCCACATGTGCCTAACTAGTCCAGGGTTGCAACTATAATTGTATAATTTAAATATAATTTGTGATTAGGAACTTAGGAAAGTAGAATGCTTCCTTTCATCTGACAATTTGCACGGTGCAACTAAATAGTGTAGTCAGTATTTATTAATTTATTCTTTTAGCCTATTATGTCAAAAAAATAAAGTGGGGCACAGGGACGCAAAAGACGTGCACAATTTGCAGCTTCGATGGTGGAGTCAAGCAAATTGATAAGAGCTTTCCTTGTTGGAAGTGATGACACCAGTAACCAGCATCTGTTCCTTTTGATGGCAGCAAAGAGGTCAAAGTGCAAGATTGTGAACATGTTATTTCATTTGAAAAAGAAAACAATGAAGAAACTGTTCTCTGTCCTGTTGAAAGTTACAATAATAATGAACAAGAGGA